TGAAAAATAAATAGATAGAAATAGATAAATCCTTATTACAGTTTACATGTTCTTATTTGAAAAACTTTAATGATGTAACAGAAGCATTAAGTGGAGATCAAAATCCAACTATTTATGAAGTTTTGTGTTAATATTGTTTGAATGAGTAGAAGACAAGGATGGTTAACTGTCAGACCGATGTCTAGAAATGGATGTAAATAACAATGTGATTTCGATGATGGCATGTGTTCGATCACTGCATGATAAAGTTTGGGTCAATGTACAAACACATCGATTTTTGTTTCATATATTCTTTCTATATATAACTTTGAGTGTTTCACTTCAGAGGTTTCATGTGATGTGAAATATATACAATCAATAGGTGTGAGATGCGACATCGTATTACGCTGGTTTTTATTGCGCTCAACACTGGTAAATCTATAAATCTCATCTTCGACAAAGTTAAGCAGCGGAACTTCACTTAATATTCAGTGAAGACCAATCTTCTTAGTTGATAGTAATATGCGATGATGGCATGTGTTCGATAACTGCATGGTAGAGTTTGGGTCAATATACAAACTGTAATGTTCCAAACGCTAACGATAAAATATTAAAATGGGGAGGAGCATAGTCAGGAGCCATCAGTCGACTGTAGAGTATTCTTTTTAGTGAGCCTCCTCTTTTCCACTTGCATGTACAAATTTAACTCAGTTATCAATAAAAGTTAGATGTCTTACATAAAGTTATATTTATTTGAACGAGATGATTATGGTCCAGACTCAGGAGCCTTTGTGCGGTATCCTTTTTGTAAACAATTTTTAGTACTTTTATTTGCTTTAATTGTGTCAATTTGATATTAAGGGAATATTATCGCTTTCTCATTGCACTTGGTTTTCGAGTTCTTTATAATATCATGAGTCAAGAAATATGCTCATGTCATATAGTAAAGTATGTCCTAGTGAGCAGGTATATCCCAATGACGAGCATGACACGGAGTTCAGGAAGGAAACACATCGATTTTTGTTTCGTATATTCTTTCTATATATAACTTTGGGCTCAGTCCGACGTTTGCTTCTCCCTTAGCTAACAATGTGACAGAAGAGAACAGTATTATTAGATAAATTTCACATTACTCGTGAGAGTATTACTGGTACAATACCATTTTCTCTTCAATGTGTCCTTTGGGTGTTCCACTTCAGAGGTTTCATGTGATGTGAAATATATACAATCATTACGTGTGAGATGCGACATCGTATTACGCTGGTTTTTATTATGCTCAACACTGGCAAGTCTATAAATCTTATCTTCGACAAAGTTAAGCAGCGGAACTTAACTTAATATTCAGTGAAAGCCAATCTTCTTAGTTGATAGTAATATGTAAAAACAACCGCACATATAGAATTAACGAAACTGCGGACGTTGTTAGTTATTGAACTTTAGATTTGATTACAGCCTAAATAATCTTTAATGTCGTCACATTGATCAGGTCAGTAAAATAAGTTTTATTTTCTCCTTTCTTTCGCTTTTTCCAAGCACTTCTTCCTTCTTCAATCTTTTCATTGAATGAGAAGAAACCGGCAGACTGATGTAACACCAGACTATATACAATCCGATCGCATTGTTGATTGGGGCTGAGTGAAGTTAAAGAACGAGCAGAGTTAAAAAAGTTCATCATTACTATTTTTACTGCGTCACGTGATATCCTTCACAGTATAAACATTGTACTGTTTGGTATTTCATCCATTGAGTCATTATCGTACCAGAACGTATAACAGGATCATGACTCAACTGAGGTAGTGTACATTGATATACTATACCGTACACTCACTATTAGTTGGATGAATACAACAGTCTGTAAAACCTAAACTCTGTCTAAAACAAATCCGGATAATTCACAAGATAGAGAGAGCAGATAACTAGAGAAATATGTTTTCTATCTACTTGAAAAAGAAACGCCTAGTACTATGAACCATAATTCATATTTTACACATAAGCCTTTCACTAAAATACACTGCATAGTGATGCCGTTTAGAACAGCCAATGACTTATGTCTTATAACCGACTAGCTACCTGTTATTAAATTACATGTGAGAGTGAGATTTGTATGATACTCTTCGTTCTAACTATCGTTTTACTCAGTCGATTTCCAATCGTTCCTAAGCGCAAATTGTTATCGCGATATTCGATCTTAGTACCAGCACAGACATTAACAGAGCGAAAAAAACAGATAACACTAAAATACAGCAATAGTTCGCTGCCGAAATCGAACTATTGTCCTTCAGAAAGCAAAAACTCGAAACGGGTCAAAAGGGGAAAAATGCGGCCTTTATAGTAAAATCGGATTGAGAACTGGACCCTTGATTCATATACCATCGTAACGTCCAACAGACCAGCTTCTTCAACAAATCAACTTTTCTACATCAGTTTTCAACGTTCATTCAGAAAAAAATAGTTTGAAAACTACGCCATGTAATACATCTTCAAAAAAATCGATTTTACAATAGAGGTCGCATTTTTCCCTTTTTGACCTGTTTCGAGTTTTTTCAATTTTTCGACAAGAAAATAAAGTTTAAAGAAATTAAAAACCAAATATTTTTGTACAGTTTGAGACCCTCTTTCGAATATAATAAGTTTAAAAAAAAGTTTCACTTGAGTTTTGCATTATCTACATCTTAATATCGGAGTCAAAAAGCAGTGCATTCGGATGTTTTTTTAATAACGTTTCATCGGAATGAACTAGCGAGGTCTGGTTTTTATCATTTTGAAGTAAATTCATGGGGCTATCGAACGACTTAAGAATGATCTAAAAGCTATTACCTGCGGGTGGTGTTGCTTGTTGAACAAAATGTCCGGCAGTGCTGTGGAAAGGATTCTAGACAAAATTTTCTTTCTTAACCTAAGCTACGAACGAAATCAAAGAAAAAAGACACTTTAATCTTGATCAAGAATAGTTGTAACATCTCTAATAACTTTCGTTTGTTCTATCTAATAAATAAATATCTACATCAGAAAAAGATAAAGCAATATCTGCTCTACAACACTACACGAAAACCGCTATCTTTTTTCGTTTGATAGCTATAGGCATTTCGCTGGGACCACCTGCGAAAACTTATCGGGACTTTCAGCGTAAAAGACTAAAGGCGAGTAAAAATTTCGAAATCTGCATTAATCGACTCAGTTTTTGATTCTGATTCTGAATATGAGATTTCAATTGCATAAAAGTTGAGTTCTGATGGAGAAAATTGAGAATTACGAGCAGAATTCTGACTCTTTTGCCTCTGATTGAGAAAATTGTATTTTTTCAGCAACGGAGAGGAATTTGAAAACAAGCGATTCATACTTTTCTTCTACGTTTCAAAGCGAATCGAATCGTGTATGAAACTTAGCTTCATCTCTTAACCAAAGAGCTGCGATAGACTTGCAAGATGAGGGTCTCGAAACCTAAAATATATCGGCCCCGTTTCGCGCTCAGAAAATCTGTTTTGGAAACTTGAAATGCAGTTTTCTAGACGCAGTTTTCCACGCTGAATAGTAAAAACATAGTTTCACGGCTTCGAAATGAAGTGGAACCAAGTTATTCAGTTTTTAAAAAAGTTAGCAGTTTTTCGAAAAAAGATATTCTACAAGTTTTGAATTTTTTCACTGATAATGTGCACTTGGAAGGCCACAAACAGATATTCTTGATCAGCGTAGAATTCCCTAGTGAATGATGCATGATTAAGTCAAAAACAAAATAGTGCTAGTATTTGGAATTTGAAGCCTGTATTAGGTGAAATAACCCATTTTTTGATTATTTTCATCAAAAATTAAAAAATTAATAACTCAGTCAAAATTCATCCAACCTACTTCAGAATGTCAGAAATTCCTCTATTTTATCCGCTCATCCTGATTCTGTACTTAAAATCAATAAAAAATATTCTCTTAGTTCCGGAGGTTTCTGCACAACATTCATTTCTGACAGTCCGAAACCTAACGGCAGAGGGCTGCTAAGGGTTCAGGAAAAACGTCCATAGCGGCCGAATCATGGATTTTCAAGATCTCGCTCGGTTCCAGTTTTGCAGAGGACAGTTCAGACTAGAAACCCATCGAAAGAAAACAGCATATTTCTATATCATTTCTGGGAGCTACGACTTGGTTTTCCAAATCTGAAAATACGGTGTTAAAAGGTCTTTCGACTGAAAACGCTATAGTCCTTCCAAATTATACTCAGGTTTTAGAGCTCGTATAGTGCGCTAATATATATCGAAAACTAGTTTTATGTTAAAAAAACTAGTTATTTGTGTCATACCGCTCTTAGACTTTCTTTTGGTTTTTGTCGTAGATCACTAAGATTAGGGATAGCTGAGAACGAGCGGCTGACTCGAGGCACAAAAGCTTGTGTAAGAAGAAGAATCTTTTAAGGAGAAACAGAATAAGCCTCCTCGAGTTCTACTCGGTCGGCTTAATCATCTGTCCCCGACATAATAATATATGTTTGTTATAGAGAATAAAGTATCACGCAGTCTTAAATTGATTATACGTGTTGCGTAGACGAACTTTATCAGCTTTCTTATTTAACAAACGTTTTATGCCATTTGACGAACAGCGCTCTGATCTCGATATGACACAAACTTATATTTACGTACTGTTTTAGAAGCATATGTACGATTACAACAATTCAATAGTTGAGCTACAATAATATCATGGTCCATTATCCTATAATTTAAAGAGCTTGAAACTAACACTTCAAACTAATTTCATTTGAAGCAGCTGTAAGGCTATTCGTTCGTACTGCATCGTCACTCTTGGGTGTATGATACTCTGCATAAAAAAGCTCTTGTTCATACTTAGAAAGTCTGACGCAAGGCCTTGTGAGAAGATGCGACTCACTGAACTTCATGGTAAACCACACCCAAAGACTAGTAATAGTGTAATAGACAAATATTTAAGTTCCATACGAAACCAACGTTTGATTTTAACATCTGTTAATGCGTCTAGGGGTTACGTTATTTTACTTCAGATCTACCATCGGTTCCTTGTACATGGCTCTGGAAAAGCAGACCAGTGCATTTATAATTCTTGTCGCTGTGTTTGGGATATTATTTGGTGCTTATTTAGTTTATAGTTTACCATTAATTAGATTCGCTAACAATATTAAAAATAGATATGGTACTAACACAATCAATTGTGGATTATCTATGAACGAAAGTGATCATTACTTTTGTGAATCTGATAGTGACTGGATCGAACGGAAAAACGTTTATATTGAACAAGATAAACGGAATCAACTCAAACAAACAACTAATATATTCTTTCTAACAAATTGGGAACCAAATTTTCAATGCAGATTCGAACGTCGAATAGGCAGTACTGGAGACGGAGGCAAATGGGTAGGAGTGTGTCCCGCTCGAAAACTTGTTATTCTTTCTCTCTCTCTCTCTCGTAGGTCTGTGATCCATACAATCTCAGAAATAAAACTTCATGCCTAGTTTACAGCGCAGGATCTGCTGGCGATTTTTCATTCGAAAACGACTTAAAGCGGCTTCTTCCTAATTGTGAAATTCATACATTTGATCCGGGCGTTTATCAATGTCCGGTTAATATATGTACATATCATCAAGTAACTCTGGGCTCTGGAGATGATAATATATCAAAAAGTTTAGAAATGCTTACCAATGACTTAAATCATACGAAACGTGAAATAGACATTTTTAAGATAGATATTGAAGGTGGTGAATACTCATTGTTTCTGTCAATGTTTGGTCCAACAAGACAAAATACAACTAAAAATAGTAAACGAAGAGTTTATCCTCGACAAATTCTTTTTGAAATTCATATTGGAGGACAAGCTCCTAGTGAGACTCATCAACTATTTGATTCTTTGAGAAAATATGGTTACGTCATATTTCATAAGGAGCCTAATTTAATTGGTGGTGCAGACTATTTTGAATATGCAATGTTGAAGTTAACTAAAAAATTCGTTACTAGACAAAAGAAAATAGCGGCTGTTCCAAAGTAAATATAATGAATATTTCGTTTTGAACAAGGATCAGTCCGGTGTCGAACTGGAAATCGGCTTGTCCAGCTAACAGTCCGCTTTTTTCACTCTTTTTCAAGAAATTATTACAATAAACCTACAAACTAATCTAAAATTGCAACTAGATAATTAAACAGCTTAAACATTTCTCTATAAAATGAAAAGTGTAATTATTCAATTAGCAGCTAGCGTGGACAAATGCATGAGAAAGAAAGAATTTTAAACAGAAATGTTTTGTTCTCGCATTCTTTTATTGGTTCACTGCGTCGCCTTTAGCTACTCATAAATTCTCATTAAAAGAGAAATACTGTTTATAGGAGAGTTTCTCGATTAGAACAATTTTTGTAAGTTCTTATGGTGACAGTGAAGGAACAGTATTGTATTAGTTAAAAAAGGAGCAGTAGAATGAAAGGTTGACTCATAATTTATGAATGAGGGCTTATAGTTGATGTAAATAATGACGAAATTTAAATAAAAAATTGCCTGATTGTGCTCTCGGAGAGAGCGAAAGCTCAATTTGTTATATGTAATCATCTATGTCTTGTTCAATTATCAACGTATCCATACACGTTAGTTTGATTAATGTTTTATTCGATAGTACTTGGTTTACTCGAAAATCAGTGTAAGGATAGAATAATATTTCTCCTTCGTGAGGATAGTCATAATACTTGTTGGTATCACAACACAACAGTATGTGATATCGTCACCTATAAAAGTAAATTGGCAACTAAATCAAATCTAACAGAATTTTTACCTCGAATATCGATTTCAAACAGATAATCTCCAAACTAATCAGCGTGATGTTTATTTTTAGACGTGTACGTGAATGTAGGTCACAAAAATATTGTACCTACTCTATATTCTTCATTGACCCTTTGATCATCTACTGTTAAACCACGATAACCTTTCTGCGATGTGAGTATGAATTGGTGTTTACAGCATGCTCTAAATTCAATATAAATTGTGCATTATCATCCAATACTTGATGATCGTCTTCGAATAAAGCCCAATTAATCAAATGATAATACTGATCCTTTTCTTTCGGCCACATATGAAAGAGTTCCTTTTGTTTACTCACCAGTATCCTTTAGTGGAATGGATGATTTTAAGCTAGAATCACTCAGGACAGTTATGTAAGCTAGTGCAGGATAATCTCATTATTCGCCTATATATCGTTGATGAATGATCGGACTTCGGCAATTTAGACGGCAAAATGTCGGACATGAAAAACGAGATGTTATACAAGAAAACTTATCATGTTGATAATTGGTTACCATCATGTTTTTAGAAAAAGCTTGTATCATTGCACTAAGTGTGTACCAAGTAGAGCGAATAATTTACAGTTCACATTGAGTGATGGTACAATCATAACACACGCATCTTCCTTTTTGATTTTAGGCCTAAAGTCAGTTTCAATCTGAGATGGCGCGAACATATTGAAGATGTTGTACTCAATTGTACAAAGCGACTAGGTGCTATGTATAGACAATTTAAAGGTGCACCCTCTTCAATTCGATTACAAATTTATAAAACATGCATATTAGCTAAACTAAATTATGCCAGAGCTTTGAATGACAATACCTTTGCTAGTTTCGAAAGTCAACTTGAATCAGTTCAAAAATTAGCAGCTCACATGATCACATGTGATTTTTAAACACCAGGAAAAGCCCTTGTTGAAAAACTAAAATTACCTTTACTCATCGTGCGACAGAAGTACTTCCGCCTAGTGTATTTTTTTAAACTCCTTAACGGCTTATCAGCCGTATCTCGCTTCAGTTTCGTACAATTTAATGGGAGTAGACGATCTGATCGTGTATTACAGCATAACAGACAAGCTTTTATGCCATTTTCGCGCACTGAAACTGTTTTACAGTCTTTTTTGTCTAGGACAGCTCGTGATTGGAATTGTCTCCTCAAACTCGTCAATAATAAAATATTTCAAAACCAAACTGAGGCAGTACCTACCTACGGCTGTAAAAGGGAGAAAACAAGATAAAAAGGTGGCAATTCTTATAGGTGTTTACACCATTTTTGCTTTTCTGACAACATGTTTATGTATACGTTACGCTTTTGTATTGTAAAATAAAGTTTTTACTCTTTTCTGTACAAAACTGCTGTTGTCGAAACAAAAATTAATCAATCCTATCAGTGTCAGTTATCCCTAGAGATCAAATCTTATATAAGATTCCTATAGGAATCTTACAGAATATCTGCAAGAATCTTATAAGAATCTTATAAGGCAGTCGATGGAAATGCGTAATTTATGTATAAGAATCTTATATAAGA